ATTAATTTTTTATTTTTTTAAATACATAATATTATATATATTAATCAATTTAATAAAATAATTCATATCAGATCATTGATCGTAAACCTTTTTCTTAAATTTTAGTTTTCCATATTATTACTCTTAAATAAAACCATCAACTAATATGTATTTTAATAGGTAAAAACAAAAACCCCTTACATTAGTAGAATTTACGCCGACAGAAAAAGATGACAGAGAGAGCAAAGAGACATGAATTGTGGTTATTGTCATTAATTATTTATTATTAACGTTTTTAAAATTTTATTTTAAAATTATTAATATTATTTATTTAATTATTAAAAATAATTAATAATTTATTAAAATAATTAATATTTATTATTTAATAAATTAAAATTAATTTATAAATAAAACAGTCTCTATTCATCTTATCTCTTAAAAATTAAGAGAAAAATTATCTCAAAATTATGTCATTTTAATAATTTTTTTTTTTTGAACATTTTGTCATGAGACCGGTTCGAACCGTTGTCTTAGGGGAGAGGGATATGAACCTTACAAACGTGGCAAGAGCCACTTGACCCGAAGGGCCAGGTTCATGTTATTTGAATAAATATCTATTAAAAAAAACTAAAATATCATATGTTTAAAGTGTTTTTTATTTTTTTTATAATATTTTATTAAAACTATATAATTTTAAATAATTTTCTTCTTAATTTTAAGAGATAATGGAGATAAACACTAATCTTATTTATAAATTAATATTTTGAAATATTATAATTTCTTATTTACTAAAAAAATTATAAATATCAATTATTAAATTAAATACAATTTTAATGACCTTACCCAAACAATTTATGCCCATAACCACCCCCAGAGATGGCCCATGGTCTTGGTGTAACGGACTAATTGTGACTGTGGGCTGTCGGGGGCAATGGGTGAATGGTCCAGATAAGTATTGAGTTGATGACCCCCATGTGCTTATCGTTAATCTATGCTATTTATTTATCACTAGTAGTAATATAATAATCTTTTTATTGTCGGCTAATCCTAATCCTAATCCCACAGTGATAATTAGGTGTTACTGTAGAAGAGAGATAAGGATCAAAACAGAAGAAATTTGTACACTGTACTACTGTAGTGATTTCCATGTGTTAAAAAACTATTTGTTGTGGGTTCATTGGAAGATTCAAGAAACTCTCGAATCGCTACATGAATGCATCATCTAAGTATAAAATTAAAAATTAAAAACATCAACGCATCATGCATATCTGAATTTTTTTTAGTGGTTTTGCTAAACTTCAAGTCTAGACATACAAACATTAAAAGAAATATAAAAATTAAGATTTTTTTTTATATTTTAAAATAAAGTAATAATAGGCACTTAGATCTTCGGATCCAATAACTTCAGGTCACGTATAAATGCATTATCTCATTTTTAGGGTAACGGTCCGAATCCGATTCTTTGCAAATTTATTTTTAAAAAAATAATAAAATAAAATATATTAATAATAGGAAAGATAAAATTTTAAAATTAATAATGTAATTTATATTACGTTATTAAATTAATTAATACATATAATATTATAAAATTATTTATTATTATTATTTTAAAATATAATTTCGGATCCAATAACTTCAGGTCACGTATAAATGCATTATCTCATTTT